TGGGCTACCCGTGCATCCCTGATGCCCCGTTAGGTTCCACCCCAAACGAAGGCTACTTACACACCCCTCATGCCAAGTGTCTGCCAGAGAGATCACAGTACTCCAGTGGTGGGGGGTGCCGGTCATCCCTCTCCCTGTTTTCAGAATAAAGGCCGCTATTTCTTTTATACTTCTCATCATTTGGAAATACTTTAAATCTTTTAAAAATAATCCTATCATTTGATGAAATTTAGGAGTGATTTCTCTAGATCTATGAGGTATATTGATGGTATTTTTATTGGGATCGCATTGAATCTGTATGAGAATTTTGGGAGAATGGCCATTTTCACAATATGTATTCTTCCTATACATGAGCAAGGGATGTCTTTCCATTTTCTGAAATCATCTTCAATTTCTTTTTTCCGTGTATTATAATTTTCCCTGTATAGCTCTTTCACTTCTTTCGTAAGAGTAATTCCTAAATATTTCATTTTGTGGTTGCTAGTGTGAAGGGTGTGGCTTCTCTTATTTCTCTCTCTGTAATTTTGTTGTTAGTGTATAGGAATGCTACGGATTTTTGAGTATTGATTTTGTATTCAGCTAATGACTGAATTTATTTATTACACCTAAGAGGCTTTCAATGGAGTTTAGGGCATCTTCTATGTAGAGTATCATGTCATCTGCAAACAATGATAATTTAACTTCTTTTCCTATTTTTACCCCTTTTATTTCTCTCTCTTGTCTAATTACTCTGGCTAGTATTTCCCATACTATATTAAATAAGAGTGGTGATAAAGAACATCATTATCTTGTACCTGATTTTAAAGTAAAGGCCTTCAATTTTTGGCCATTTGGTATGATACTGGCTGTTGGTTTGTCGTAGATGGCCTTTATTATATTGAGGTATTCCAATTTTCTGTAAAGTTCTTATCATGAATGAATGTTGGACCTTATCAAAAGCTTTTTCTGCATCTATAGAAATGATCATGTGATTCTTAGTCTTGGCTTTATGGATATGGTGGATTACATTGGTAGGTTGAAGCATCCCTGCATGCCTGGGATGAATCCCATTTGGTCATGTTGTATAATCTTCCTGATGATTTGCTGCATCCTACTTAGCAATATTTTATTGATGATTTTTGCATCAGTGTTCGCTAGGGAGATTGGTCTATAGTTCTCTTTTTCGGTTGGGTATTTCTCAGGTTTTGGTACTAGAGTAATATTGGCTTCCAGGAATGACTTAGGAAGGATTGCTTCCCTTTCACTTTCATTGAAGAGTTTGAGGAGGGTCGGCATTAGGTCCTCTTTATTTCTTGTAGAATTCTGCAGTGAATACTTCTGGGCCTGGGCTCTTCTTTGTAGGTAAGGATTTAATCACATTTTCAATTTCATTAATAGAAATTGGGTTATTCAGCAGTTTTACATCCTCTTGACCAAGCTTTGGTATGTCATATGTTTCTAGGAATCTGTGTATTTCTTCTGTGTTATCAAAGCTTTGAGAGTAGAGGTTTTCCAAATAGGTGTTGGTGATCTTCTGTATTTCTATAGAGTCTGTAGTGATTTCAACTTTTTCATTTTTTATTGCATGAATTTGAGCTTTTTCTTCCCTTTTTAAAATAAGGTTGGCTAGGGGCTTATCAATTTTATTTATTTTTACAAAGAACCAACTCTTTGATTCATTGATTCTTTGGTTTATTTTCTTAGTCTCCATTGCATTGATTTCTGCTCTGAATTTTATAATTTCTTCTCTTCTTTTGGCTTTGGGCTTCACTTGCTCTTCTTTTTCTAGATGTTTGAGGTGTAGCATCAGGTTATCTATTGGTATTCGTTCTGCTTTCCTGATGTGGGAACTCAGTGCAATAAAGTTTCTGCTGAGGACGGCTTTCATTGCATCCCACAGATTCCGCGAGGTTGTATTTGTATTTTCATTTGCTTGTAGGTATTGTTTAATTTCTTCTTTAATTTCCCCTGTGAGTCACTGATTACTCAAGAGTGTGTTATTTAGTTTCCCTGTGTTTGTAGGATTTTTGCAGTATCTTTTATCATTAATTTCTAATTTCAAAGCACTATGATCCAATAACATGCAAGGGATAATTTCAACTCTTTTGCATTTATTTAAGTATGTAGTGTGAGTTATTATATGGTCTATTTTAGAAAATGACCCATGTACTGCTGAGAAGAATGTATATTCTGATATTGTTGGATGTAACACTCTGTGGATGTCAAGACCATTTGTTCACAGGTGTGATTCAGTTCTGTTATTTCTTTGCTGATTTTCTGCCTAGTAGATCTGTCCCTTGGTGTCAGTGGTGTGTTAAGGTCTCCTGTTACAACTGTGTTACTGATAATTTGAGTTTTCATTCCTGTTAATGCTTATTTTATATAACTGGGTGCTCTGGAACTTCATGCATATATATTTAAGATAGTTATTTCTTCCTGTTGAAGCTTTCTCCTAACAAGGATGTAGTGACCTTCTTTATCTCTTCTGATCATTATTGCTTTAAAGTTCACATTCTCTGCAAAGAAAATGGCTACTCCTGCTTTTTTGGGGGTTCCTGTTGCATGAAGTATTGTTTTCCATCCTTTACGTTCAGTCTGTGAATATCCTTTTCTGTTAGATTGGCTTCTTGTAGACAGCATATGGTTGGATTTTGTTTCTTGATCCGTTCTGTCAGTCTGTTTCTTATCATTGGTACATTGAGACCATTTACATTAATGGTTATAACTGTTGTATGTTGGTTTATTGTTGACATGTTATCTTTCTGTTCTGTTTAATTGTCTGCTTTGCTTAGTGGTTTTTTCCTAAGTGTATGTAAACTGTCTTCCAATATTTTTTTCAGGGTTGGCTTGGTGATCATGAAGTTCTTCAGCTGATCTTTGTCATGAAACTATCTCATTTCACCATTGATTTTGAAGGACAGTTTTTCAGGATACATCAGTCTAGGTTGGAAATCATTTTCATTTAGGATCTGGAATACTTCATTCCATGCCCTTCTTGACTTTATTGTTTGTGCTGAGAAGTCTGCTGTGGATCTGATAGGTTTTCCTTTATAAGAGATCTGTGTTTTCTCTCTGACAGCTTTTCAATATTCTATTCTTATGTTGATTTCTGGGATGGTGATTATTATATGTGTGGGTGTAGTTTTATCTTGGTTATGACTATTTTGAGTTCCATGTGCTTCCCTGATCCTGATGTCAGATTCTGATCTCATGTTTGGGAAATTATCAGCTATTACTTCTCTAAATTATGTCTTGACATCCTTTATGTCATCTCCTTTTTCATTAATCCCTATCAAAACTTTGTTGTTTTTCCTTGCATAATCTTGCACTTGTTGAATTGTTATTTTCTGATTTCCTGTTATTTTTAAAAGATCTTCCTTTCCTGTTCACTAGCTGCAATCTTGTCTTCAAGGTCTGAAATTCTATCTTCACTTTCATTGAGGGGTTTTTTACAGCTTTCAGTGGAATTTTTGATTTCTGCTTGTATCTGCTTTATGTATTCTGCTTGTTTCCTATATTGCTCATCTAGCAATTCTATCTTTTTGTTTGTTCTTCTAAATTTTTAACTGTGTCTTCTTTAGATATACTCAGCATCTCTTTCATTTCTTTTATCATTTCTTCTTTTACCTGGGAGATTATTTCTAGTTTGAATTCCTTTAAAGCTTCCCAGAGATGCTTGTTTATTTCAGTTGCTATTTCGTCCAATATTTGAGGTGTATGGCATACATTTTCTTCTATGTACATCATTCCTACTGTTTCTTAGTGTGGACTGAAGGTTTGAGGTTGTAATTTGGTCTTTACTTTTGTCATTTTCCATATTTCTGTGTTTCAAGTGTTTCGAGTATTATGCTTAGGCTTCCTCAGGGTCTTTTGGAAATCCTCCTCTATTCTCTGAGCTCTTGGGACTGTGGCACCCAGTTCCCTGGATTGATAGAAGGTCACTGAGGGAGGAACCTGTGGTGCTCCCCTGCTTGCTTAGAACTTCAGAGTGTAGCAAGCTCAGCGGGAACTGGGAATCCAGTACCATGCCTCGGACCCGCTGAACTGCTCCAGTGCCCCCAGAAGCTGCAAGGATCCCAAAAAAGCAGGACTCTGGGGAAAGTGCACAGGGCACTTATACCAGGCCACCGGGCCTCTGGAACCAGTGGCACCTGCCTGCTTGCTTAAAACTCCGCAGTCCTGTGGTACTATTTTCATTTGGAACCAGAGCCTCAGCAACACAGAAGTGGCTCAAACTCCCTCTGATCCTCAAAGGACTGAGGGGAGAAGGGCATCTGAACAAGAGTTCCCTGCTGCCTCTGTCCAGGGCCTGGCCGGGTCTCTCTAGCAGGGCTTCTGCTGGCAGCAGCACTTCTCACAACCACAGGTCCTCAGTCATGAACTTTATCTTCCCTTTCTTTCTTATTTTTGACTATTGACATTGACACATTACCGATTGCAAATTAAACTTTCTGAGCTCCCATACATGTCTTCAACCACAAATTCCTCCATCATTTGGAAAGGTCTTGGAAAACCTGCCCCCAAACACCTCTAAGGACGAAATCTTAGCAACTCCCAAAACCCGATATGGAATGCCACCTCTTTCTTTTTTTCCTTTCTTTTCTTTCCATTCCTTTTCTTTGTCTTTTGAGCCAGGGTCTCCCTGTGTAGTTCATGCTGGTATTGAGTTCACCTTGTTGCCCAGGCTGATCTTGAACTTGCAGTGATCCTCCTGCCCCAGACTCCTATATTCTGGGATTGCCACCTCCTTTGGAGGCAGGTCCTGCTTTCTGAATCACACCAACTCCCACACAGCAGTGTGCCGTCACACCCTTCCACAGCGCCTCACATCAGTGTGTACATTTACCACACTCGTTATCGCTCTGCACTATGTGTGTGCAGTCTTGGGTGTGACAGGCCTGTATGTAATACACAGTCCTGATTATCTGTGCATTCTCCAAGGCCACACCTCGGGGAAGATCATAAAGGGTGGCACGTAAATGAAAATAAACACAGTGAGATAAAGAAAGGAAGACTTGGGATTATTTTAGAATTTTATTAATAAACTTTAAGGCATTGTCTAGAGAAACTCGGGCTACAGAAGAGACATTTCCTATGCAGTTCACAAGGATGAAGTAACACAGAGATCAAAAAAAGGTTTAAAGCAGAAAACACAGTGGAAACCATCACTTGAACTTACCAACCTGGTAATCATGTTGTCCTTCATCCTGGTCCTTGCACAGCATGCAGGAGGAGGTCACCACCTTAGAACAGGAAGCATTAAACATTGTGTGTCATGTCAGGGGAGAAGGCGTATAGAGTCCTGTTGCCATCCTCACAGCAAGGACAGAGTCGATAGGGCAGAGACCACACCTGTAACTGAGCCACTGACACCGCGACTCTGCAGACAGCAGACTGAGATTCACCAGGGGAACAGCACCTACACTACAACTAGGGCACCAGCACCTAGCAGCAGCACTGCTTCTTGCAGCAGCACTTCTGCTGGCAGCAGCACTTCTGCTGGCAGCAGCCCTTCCCACAGCCACAGCCACAGCCACAGGAGCCGCAGCCACAGGAGCCACAGCCACACGAGCCACAGCAGGTGTGGTGGCAGCAGATGACTACAGGTTTGCAGCAGCAACAGCCACAGCAGCTGCCACAGCAGCTTCCACAACAACCGCAGCCACCACAGCCACCACAGCTACCACAGCTGCCACAGCCACCACAGCTGCCACAGCCACCACAGCTGCCACAACCACAACCTCCACAGCCACAGCAACCCATGGTGTCAGTAGGCAAGAAGCAGGTGAGGGAGGAGAGAGGACTCAGGAGAACAGAAGAGTGTGATACTGCATCCTGTGGGGACCCTTATATACCTAGTCCTGAACGGCAACCCCTTCCTTGTGAGTGTTTCTTACAGTTACCTGAGAGCCTCACGAGGTCTCTCATGTCCTTCCTGGTTGACAGCGTGACCCGCTGTTATTGCTGCCTTTAACCTTGATTCTTCCCTTAAGCTCAGGACTTAGAATAGACACACTTCTAACATGTATGAGTACCCAGGGAAAGCAAGTGTTTCCATCTTTCCTGTCTCGAGACCTCAGAGGAGAGCCTAGCAAATGGTAAGGACCAAGTGTGGTCTTAGGAAATACACATATGACTCACATATTCAAGAATAACCCTATGCAAATACATGCGAGGAAGAACCCACACCAGGCAAAAGCCCTCACAGTCTCTGTAGGTCAGGGAAAGCACTCTTTTCTCTGCAGAGGTTCCTATCTGATACTCAAGTAAGCAAAACCTCCCTAAGGAATGAATGGAAAACCAGAATCAATAGGATCAGCATAGGCCCTGTACTGTTTTATGCCAGGTATTCCATCTTTTTCTCGCTGTCTGGAATTCATTCATCAGAATAACTCATTTACATTTAAAGTCATGATAAAATCACTGTGTGATGTCAGGCTCTGAAAATATAAGTCAGGTGCCAGAAGGAGGTTCGATTGTTGCTTATCTACCAAAGAACTGGGAAAACAGAGGAAGGAAACTCCCATCCTGGGGGGTCGAGCCTCCTGCCAGGCTCTCTTAGGATTCTTGAAGCCAGCCTGAGCTCTCAGCCCAGCCACGCTCCGTGGACTCATGACCCAGAATCTCCCGGGCTCTAGCTCTCGGGCTCTGTGTCCAGCCCCGCCAGGCTGAAGTGCCATGCTGAGTCTAGCAGGTAAAGTTCTTGCTTGATGACCTCAGAACACTAGGCTGCCTGGCTCACTTGGGAACTAAGTCAGTCCCGGAAGATGCACATGTGCTCCCAGGATTAATCACCGTGCTGCCCCTCTTGGGCTGACAATGAAGGTCCTAAAACTTAGATAAACTGGCTTCATGGGGTCACAGGTCCCTGAGTGCTGGTGCTCCTCATCTTGCAGCTGGGGTCTCTTGGATAAGTTCAGTTGTTGAACCCAAGAGGAGGAAACCTGAAACATGCTTCCACCTCTGACACGCCTCTCAGGACCAGGGGTTGTTAGGGATCTTCCTGCTCAGCGCTCTGCTGCTCAGCAACCTCAGAAGTTCAGGCTTGTGAGTTGAACACTCCGATCCCACCCACCATGGCCAGTGGGTGAGACCCAGGGTCACACTGAAGCCTGAAGCTGTGGATTCTCTAGCCACCATTTCCCCCTTCTGGACTAAGATGCATCACATAATTATTCCAGTCATAGGCAGAATCTCCAGGCTTCCTAAGAGACCACAGTCTGGACACAGCAGTGCTATCCTGGAGAGATCCTTGACAAGGAAGTAGGCAAAAGGTCTTGTGAGATCCTTCCATGGAAACTGGGGAAAACAAGGAAGGAGGAGCAGCATATAAGGGGAGCCAAAGGAGGCGCATCAGATCCTGCTCTCCTGAGTCTTTCCTCACCTGAGTCCTCCCCTCAGCTGTGTTTTCTCTACTGACACCATGGGTTGCTGTGGCTGTGGAGGTTGTGGCGGCTGCGGTGGCTGTGGTGGCTGTGGCAGCTGTGGTGGCTGCAACAGCTGCACCACCTGCAGATGCTACCGGGTGGGCTGCTGCTCTGGCTGCTGCCCCTGCTGCGCTGGCTGCTGTGGGGGCTGCTGCAGCACCCCCGTGGTCGTCTGCTGCCGCCGCACCTGCTGCAACTCCTGTGGCTGCGGCTCCTGTGGCTGCGGCTCCTGTGGCTGTGGCTGTGGCTGCGGCTGCGGGAAGGGCTGCTGCCAGCAGAAGTGCTGCTGTCAGCAAAAGTGCGGCTGCAAGAAGCAGTGCTGCTGCTAGGTATGTCTACAAGAGCTCCCTGGGCCCCTTCCTTCCCCTGGTGAGGAATCTGCCGTCCTGTCTGATATATATTATCCCAGTGCATTGTGGCATCTTCCTATTTGATTCTGGTCTGTAGTTTCAGGTTTTATAAGGCTCTGTGGGCATCTTATACAATGGCATCCGAGGACAAGGGTGAAAGTCCCTTGTTATCCCTCGGTGGTGGCTGTAGCACTCAGCAGAGGTGCTACTTTCCCAGCCCTGTGGCCTGGCCTCTGCCCCGGGCAGGCTGTGGTAGGCGTGGGGGTGGAAGTGGGGAGCTCTTTAATCTGGTCTTGGCTGATCTATCTGCCCTTGTGTGTGAGGTGGATCTCTTTGGGCTGTCCAGGACCTTCCCACTTGAAAAGCTTCTAAATGACCAGAAATAGTTAAATTCAAGGAAATGAATGCCTCTAAGCACCAAAGCCACCCAAAGGGATTATCCAATGGGCTCTGGATCCCCAGTATTCTCCTCCCATCTCCTGTTCATGCTTCTGTCTCTGAATGTCTTCCTTTCCTCTGAGGACCATGCATCCCTGACATCTCCTTTGCTACTCTGTTTCTATTTACTGTCAGCGATCTTCTAAAAGTCTAATAAACTTGCTCCATTTTATTTAAAATGTTGACTCAATAAAAACTCCTTCTTTTGTGGTATTTTCCAAGGAAGGATGGTTTGTTTTAAGGAAGGAAAATAACTGCTTATTTTGCTTGATTTATTGTGAGCTTGAACTACTTTGGTGATGAAAAATCTCCACCTATGTATATTAAAATTTTAAATGTTTCATCTGTTTTAAATCCATACTGCTACAGATATATCCACTTTTTTGAAAAAGAAAACAAGCTTAAATAAACTGCAGTGATAGCCAAGTGCATGCACACACACACAATTTTTGGACAAAATTTACCTTAGTTTTGAGAATTTCCACCTTTGCTAACTATGCATATTCCTTCTTAGGGAAAAAAGCTTACTAGATGTATAGATTTCTGATACAATTTAAATTCAAATGAGAATAGTGATTTTTTTTTTTTTGCTATGGAGATTTCCTCAGCTGAATTTAAAAATCTTACTTTTGTCACAAAGATAAGATGCATCCCTTGAGATGTTCAGACATGTGTACATCTACCCAAAATATAACATTCTTTCAGAACACAGTACTCTTTCTCATTGAACTCCTCATCTTCCCATTAGAGAGAAGGAAATCAACAATTGGAGCCATGAAGCTTTCAAGGAAATGCTGTGGCATCTTTTGCAAAATTGAATTTTTCATGGGGACACACACACAGACACTCCCATATTCCATCACAACCACCAACACCTGTTTGCAGTAATGGAGGTATCTCCACTGATCTCTTGAACAGGTTTTTTTTTTTCCTTAGCCCCCGAATTTATTGCTGGAAATGGCTCACAAACTGCTGGCTGGATGTACAGAAATAGTCAATACTATCTCTACAATATTGAGAATGCTAAAGGATACTGCTTCCAAGACAGCGATGTGACAATCTTAACAGAAAACGTACCTGCCCTTCAACTCAGACATTTCATGTTTTGAACAAACATGTATCAGTCACTCTTCTAAGAATCTATGGAGTAAAAGAGTAGGAAGAATCAAGCCATCTTGTAGCAGGCCCAGATTAAATGAGACATTCATACAAGCGATGACCTCATGGTTCTCAGAAATAGTGCATCTTGGAAGCAACTTAAGTGTTCACCATCAGATGAGGATAAAAATTGTGGTATTTATACAACAACAAAGCATTACTCTGCCATAAAAGCTAAACTGGAGCTGTCACAGGAAAGTGCTTGCACTTTGAGATCATGATGCTACATGAAACAAATCAGACACACAGAGGGAAAAATATCACATGGCTTGTCATTTCATGAGTAAAAGAAAAGGTATATGACAGAAAACAGGGAGATAGACTACCTGGAAATGGGAAGGGAACTCAAGGCAGGGAAAGAAAGGAGGGAACGGAAGTCCGGCCTAGATGACTGTCCTTGAAAGAAGAGCAGTTATCTCTGTTTTGTATAAATTTGGCCCTATCTGTGAGTATTGATATACTGAGAGCTGGCTAGGACTTTTCTTATCCCTACAGTTGGCTTTCATCAGTGTAAATTGGGCTGGCTGAGGAGCTGATGTGTAATCTTCGAAGCAAGAGACAATCCTTCTTTCCCTGCCCTGTGACTCCCAAAGACCCTGGTTTATCTGGGAGTAATGAAGTATACTCCATGCTGTCAGCAGGATCAAGTCTGCAGAGAAAAGGCCATGACTTGCAGGGCCCAAAAGATTGCACTTCAGAGCTGAAGTAATGACCCCAAAACACTAGGTATTACCTCACCTGTGTTATGCACATAACTCTGCTTTTCTTTCCATGTGGCAGAGGTGATCTCAGGCCTCCTACATAGCCCAGCTCAAAGCAGTCATGTGTTTCCTGCCACTTTCATTGTCACTCACCTCCAAGCCACTCCCTCATGGAGAATTAATAAAACCCCAGATTGGGCCCTAGGTTGAGGTCTTTGTTCCTGTGAACCTTCATCCAGGCTGAGCTTAGGATCCCTTGGCTCCCTATAACTATAATTATGTCTTTCTCGCCTTGGGTTGAACTGGAAGGGGCAGATTTGAATAAACTCACTGGAATTTCAAAACATTTTCCATAGGATTACAAATACAAACTTCCTGGATGGTGAGTAGGTCCAGGAAAAGGCTCCCCACAGGGAAACACAAAAACTCAGTAAGGGGTATGTACTTGTCCAGATTCCACTCAATGAATGTACTTATTGTGCACTGTAAATAAATACAAAAAAAAAAAAAGATGTGGAACAGTGATCCAGATCTCTGGGAACTTACAAGGAATTATTTGAAATCTAGCAAATGTTCAAAATGAATGTAGGTCATCCATACCTGTATTCCATCCCACCTCACTTAAAGAAACTACACGCACTTAAACCAGCTCAATTGTTACAGTAAAGTTCAGAAATTTTAAGACAGAGGAACAGAGTCAAATATTCTGAAGAATGTGTTTTTATCAAACATCTTAAATTGCATGTTAATAAACTCAACCTGGCCCTGCCTTCCCCCTAGAGAATGGCTCACCCTGTGCCCGGGAATGTGAGTCATGACTTTTCTCCCTCCATGCAGGCTGTTACTTTATCCTGTAACCCAGGCCCAAACTTTTAATAGATTCACAAATTCCACAGATTTCCATGAGCAAAATATGTAAATATTCTCATCTCCAAACTGCACTGCCTGCTACGCTCTTGAGGACCTGCATACTGTATTTGAGTGAGTACTTTAGAAATTCAGCCAAAAGGTCCCTTTTTGCTTCTTAAAAACCGTATAAGCCCATAGCTCAATGTAGAGCACTATGTGCCTAGCGTGTATGAGGCTCTGTGTTCAATCCCCAGCTCCACGTCTCTACACCCCTCAAATCACAGCAGACTGTATGCATAATACAACTTACATAAACAGAAATGTACCTTAAAGATTGTAACACACTAACACACAATTAAGGGAAAAGCATGATCCCCAAAGCATAAATGAGACGCCACACACCCGCAAAAAGGCCTGAGCCTTTTTGGTCACAGTGGTCTTCCTGGTCCCTCTCCTTGGGTGATCCTCAGTGTATCTCTTCATACCCGCCAGCTTTGAGGTGGAGGCTGAGGGATTCCAAGCAAGTCTAGCAACCGTGACACCATTGCCAGAGGCTGCCTGATCTTCCATTAGCCAGACCCTAGCTTCGGGATTCCTATTGGCTGAAAGTAATGCAATTTGGAGGGGAAAGTCGAAAGGATTCTTGCTTTAAACTTCACTCAGTAAACAGGTTACTATTAATAATCACCCCTATCGTGTTCTCTATATAGTTTTCAAATTCATATAGATCCTGCCCAAAGATCTTTACTCAAGGAATTGTAACACACCTACAGGCACTTGTTGGGCTCCCAAGAAAACACAACCAGGTAAGGGAGGTTCACACAAACACACACCCATGTTAGGAGCTCCTGAATAAACCATGGACAGCAACAGCACCCCTCACCCTCAAGCAGTGTGAGGACCCCTCACAATCAAAGAGTCCCAGCCCCAACATCTAAGGCTGCCTCTGCCTCTTTCCTGAATCCCCCTTGTCACTTCATATTCTAGGACTTGACAAGGTTAGAGAAAAGTGAAAAGATAGGTTTGTCTTATATTCTGCCTTAGTATTATCATCTTTTTGTGAATTTACAATACTTTAGTTCTTCATAAACAACTTAAAAACAGAAGAAAAGAGCAAAGAGAAAATCATCCATCTCTAAAGTAACTCTGCTAACCATCGTGTCATACACATGTTTATTATTTTCCTGTGCTTTATTTTTTCCTAACTTTGGGGCAGAGCAAAGATGGCAGATAGGTAACAGCCGGCTACAGAGACTCCCTGAGATAATCAACTTAGAATTCAACATAATACAGGGTGGGGACCCCAAACAGAGGGAGATGAATTCCCTCATCCCATGAAGAAACTAAGGTGAGAAGAACCAATTAAACATACAGTCCCGGTGCTATTTTTGGAACAGATAAACATTCAGTGCTCCTGCTGCAGTGGGCGACTTACCAACTATCTGAGGTCCTGCCTCTTTGACTCACTGGAGGCACAGTAATACTGAGGTCGGGGGGCAGCCAAATGGAGAGCTGAGCTGGCAGGTAGCCTTTATCCATCTGTGGTGAGTGACAAGAATGGAGTCATTCCACAGAAAGGGGAGTTCCATCAGACAACATTCTGGGCTTGGGCAGGACTGACAATAACAAGGGGCAGCAGTGACTTCAGTCAGTTGTTCCCTTCCCGAATGGAATTGGTGGAGTGAGCTTGGCCTTGGTCACTCTACCTGGCTGAGACCCAATAGGTTATCCAAAGTTAATTCCCTACATGGCAGTGCACACTAACCACACTAATGCAGTGAAGCCTCAGAAGTTTGACTGATCTGGAGGGGAGGCTGAGCACAGTGATATAGTGCAGGCTGCAGCAGCTTGACTGATCTGGAGGGGAGGGGCCAGCATACCCTGCCGCTGTTTGACACTCACTGGCGCACTGCGGTGAGAAGGGTCACCTAGCCAGTGTGCTTCAGTAGAATTGTAACCAACAAAGAAAGAAACTGGGGCCCCCTGGAAGAAAATGAAAAGATGGGAAGAGGAAACAACAACAAAAAGTCCCCAAGTCCCAACCCTGACAACATTGACCTAGGACAGGTAAATACAAAGGAGAACGAGAACAGCACACATGCAATATCAGACACAGCACCAGTGGACATAAAGAGATATCTTCGGGACCTCATAGATGAGTTCAAAAGGGAAATATTTAGCCAAGTAAAGCAAGATATAAGAAGATTAATAAAAGAGATGATAAGCACCTCTCAGCAGTTACAGACAGAAGAGGGGAGGAACTCAAAGCAGAGAACCATTTGATGAAGAATATAAAGAAAATATAGAATACATGAAGCAGATTCAAAGAGATGACCTGGAAATTAAAAACTTATGGAAAGATGGAAAATCTACTTGAAAGAAACTAAGGATAGATTATCCAAACTGGAGGACAGTTTTGCATTGTGAGATTATGAAAGGAAAAACTTTTTAAAAATAACAAGGAAACAAGC